AAAAAAAAAATCATCTAATCCTGAGTAAAAACCCATTTTTTCGATGTTCACCTCAGCTTAAATAAGCATGAAAATGCAGTTGCCCCGTCTTGTTTGATGCAGCTTACGAGGCTCAGCAAAGCTAGCTATGTTACTATGTGTAACAGATGGCTGTAGAGACACATTTTTATACCTGAATCCTGAAGCCCAAGGGAAGACGTCACCTCTTCAGTTGACTTTGTGAATGCAAATTTAAAGATTCCTCCAAGTCGTGCTTGTTCTGCAGACTCATGAATTACCTCTGACATGCACAGTCATGATTCGCTGCCTGACAAGCATAAACTTTATTTAACTGCTTCTGGTTCTCCACTTTTGGAGTGTCCGAGTCCTGAACCTGAGCATAACAAAAGAGAAGAAGCCACCTGCGAGTCTGACAGTCTGTGGCTACGAGAAAGTTTATTCCCACAAATGAAAGAGTTGAGGACAGTTAACACAAGCAAGTGAGCGAGAGGTTTTTATTCCTAGGCCAATATTGAATTTTGCTCGAGAAACAACTGCCCCTCCTGTCTTATTGTCTTATTTTGGCTTTAACAGTGTTAATTAGACTAAAACAATTTGTTTCCAACTATCCTAATTAGAGTCAAGGGACTGATTAGAATTGATATTAATTATGCTGAAACTTAATTCAGCTGGACTAAATTAATTTGACTATAACTAAATTAAATCTGGTTATTTTTTCTAAAGTAGGTTGGAAAGTAACAAATAATGGTAAGGGATCATGAATTCTAAAATGAAATTCATCTATCTTTACCATAAACTCTAAAAAAAATCAATATATATATATATGCATCAACATGATGTAACATCTCCCCTCCTGCCCTGTCGCATTCATCATCTTCCTCTCTACTTTGCTGCTTGCATGATATTAAGTTGTTAATTGTTTAACCTAACACTTCCAGTAGTTGTTTCACATTTAAAGGCTCCAGCATGAGATGTCATGAATGTTTAACATAAAAGTTAAGTGGGGTCGACATTAAATGGAGAAAAGTCCATAACAATCAGCTCTCAGTTGTCTTCTTTTAGGTTTATTTGGGCTCAGCGTCATGCTTCAGTATGGCTGCATGTGTCCAGCTCCAGGGTAGCAAAATACCCCCAGAATGTGGATTTGAGCTGCTGTAGTTTAATTTTCTCTCTCCTTTTCATTTCCTCACAGTCATCCTTCAGTTGCTTCCATTATTCTCCACTTGGGAGTGAATGATAGATGCGCCCCAAGTAGGATTTTCCCTTCTGGGAAATATTTTGGAATTGCTGCTCGTCCTATAGGTTCATTACTAGAGAGCTTAATTTTGACAGGACCTGCTCATTGTAATCTCGTGTTCTTTATTTTGTAAATTCAGCAACAAAGCAGCTTTTTTATGCTGCATAGTGAATACAACTTGTGTGACTTTTCTGATGCTGTCGTCACTTTTAATCTGCCTGCTTTGAATAAGGCTCTTTGGATAAAGCAGGTAACAGCCTGACTCATTCTTCATAATCCTGCAGTCTTGGATATTCTTTCTTTACTTTACATCACACATTTCTGTGTTTTTATGTTTTCAACCTCCAGATTGAGATAATCGACAGATTTTCTGTGACCCCTCTGTGGTCCAAGAGTAATATTTGATCTCGCAAATGTTGTCCTCTTACTATCATTCATTGAGTGTTAATAAAGTGTCTTGCTTTGTCCACCTGACAGCAGTTTACTGACCAGTTCTTTGAACCTCTCACTCTTTCTGTCTCCTTTCCTGCTATCCTGAACATCGCTCCTTATCCCTCCTTTCTCCTCACAGATCTTTTCAAGTACAGGTTGATCAACTGTAAGCTCATCAACAGCACTTTCCTGCACAACAAAGAGGGCTGCCTGCTCAGTGACATAAGCGATGAAAATAATGCCTACATGGTCTACTTTGTCAGTTTCCTGGGTACCTTGGCTGTGTTGCCAGGCAACATCGTCTCTGCGCTGCTCATGGACAAGATCGGACGGTTGAGGATGCTCGGTATGGGCCATGTTACTGAATCGGAAGTTAGGCCTGCTTTGATCCAATTCATTTTTAAATATATATATAGTTTAAATATAACACTGCACTGTAAATCACTTGTTTTAAAGAACTTTTATCAGCTGCCTGAGGGCATGAAAAGACAACTTTCCTGTGGAAGATTACTTCTTTTGCCGTGTGGTGCTAAAAGAGCCAACAAGCAGCACTGTCCAGATTGTGAAAAAATAAATCCACAAACCTTATTATGTGTAGTTTTATCTACATTTATGCAGTTCCTACATTAACCTGCTCATGATAAGATTTCTGGATGCCATCTAGTTCCATTCAAGGGCAACTCATCCAAAAGCAATATAGATGGAACAATGGAGCAATTTTGTTTGGTCTGAAAACGTATCCTATTGGTCAGAATGAGAAATTATAGCTATGATTTAGATAAGAAAAAGAAATATAAAGGGAGATAAAGAGAGATCATTTTATTTTATCTGTTTAATAAGCGTTCTGTTGAATAGAGATTTATGTGCAAAGGTGCAAAATGATTTGATCCTCAGTCATTTTCAGCTGAGTTATGCAGGAATCCCATCAATTCTTCTGACATCATTCTTTCCCCCTCTTCATCCACAGCGGGCTCCAGCGTGATATCTTGCATCAGCTGTTTCTTCCTTTCTTTTGGCAACAGCGAATCAGCTATGATTGCCCTGCTCTGCCTGTTTGGAGGAATTAGCATCGCCTCCTGGAATTCCCTGGACGTGCTGACCGTCGAGCTCTATCCCTCTGACAAGAGGTAGGTAATCCAGGCAAGCCCAGAAATCTCCCTGACACCATAAAGGCTGTGACGTGTTAACTTATGTCATAACAGATGCCCCTTTATGATTGGTTGGCTTGCAGGGATGGATGACATTGTGGGATTCTGGGTTTTCTTGATTCCAAATAATGGTTTTAAAAGGAGCTT